ATCACTTGGCTAAGGTCATACAGGCAATAAGTGGCCAAGCTGAGCTTCGCACAGACAGTCTGGTTTCTGAGTCCATGTAGTCTACCATTACTCTATCATCTCTCTCAACTACCTTGCAGAAAAAGAGGGAAGTACGGCATTAATAGCACATAATAAATAAGAAAACCAAGGCTTGGGAGATGGAAGTGACTTCTTGATAAACAACATGCTGTCTAAGCTATTAATAAACAGGTCTAACCTGCCTGCAGAGCCAAGATTCTTACCCAGGTCCATCATCCTGAGAATATACATCTATTTCTACTTCTTTGGGTACTCGTGGGGACTAAGCAAAATGATCGACATAGAATTTATTGTAAAGATAGTATCTTGGCTATCACTGGTTTCTTTGCTTTTTTTCCTCTCACTTTTAATGCCTCATGACCTTTTAGTAAGTGGTAGAACCAGGACTCAAACATAGTTTTTGCAACTCAGCCCCCAAGTTCTACTGTGAATATACATAACTATTGTCAGTGTGCTGCCAACTGCTTTCAGCTGTATGTGAATGAGTTGATGAGCTTCTCTACAAGGAGTAAGGTACAGAATAGACTTCTGGAAGGGGAAATAGAGCAGCTACCCCAAAGGCAACCTTGATTGGAAGTTCCATATAGTTCAAGCTAAACTGAAAGCCCAGATACTACCAAGACATGGGATCAAGTATCAGATGAAGGAGGGAGGACCCCAGGAAAAATCCAGATGGCAGCCTTGTAATGGGCAGTAGAGAAATACGTCACTCTTCATCACTCATCACCCTTTCAACAGATGACTATGGGGCACCCATATGTGCTAGCTAATATGAATCTAAGGCAGTAGACTTTTGAATCCTACACTCTGAGAATTTCCAGTTTAAGGGAAGATGGAGATAAGTAAGGAGAAACTTGCAGTGCGAGGTGAGAAGGGCTGTAGTGGAGCAGTGTGCCCACCATTGGAAGCACTTGAAAATCACCTGGGCAGCTTTTATTTTTTTTTTTCTTTTAGACAGATTCTTGCTCTTTCCCCAGGCTGGAGTGCAGTGGCGCCATCTTGACTCACTGCAACCTTCCCATTCTGGGTTCTAGTGATTCTCGTGCCTCAGCCTCCTGAGTAGCTGGGACTACAGGCGCATGCCACCATACCTGGCTAATTTTTGTATTTTTAGTAGAGACAAGGTTTCACCATGTTGGCCAGAATGGTCTTGATCTCTTGACCTTGTGATCCTCTCACCTCAGCCTCCCAAAGTGCTAGGATTACAGGCTTGAGCCACCGCCAGCTTTTTAAAATTGGTGATGCCCAAGGGCTATTCCAGACTACTGGAATGGGAATCTCTAGTGGTGGAAACTAAAAATTATCATTTCTTAAAAGCTGCCAGGTGAGTGTGTGGCTGGTGTTGACAAGCACTGCCAGAGCAGGAAGCACAGGATGCCATGTGGGGCCTTGGAGGAGTCGCCAGCACCACCTTAGAGAAGAGGGCAGACTGCTGGCAGGAAGGGGTAGATGAGCTGAGACCTAAAGGAGGAGAAAGCCAGGCTCAGGAGAGGCGGACAAAAGGGAAAGGAGTATTAAGAATCTCTTAAGAGAAACTTGAATTCCTGGAATAATTTCGATTCCTGTTTTAACTTGACCACTTGTTCTCATCTCTCACACTACACTGGCCCCAGTGTCTCTGCCTAATGAGATGCAGTCTGACCATATTAGGATGGAAACCACTTCCACACAATCTGAGAATCAGTCTTTTGGCAGCTCTCCTATTCCTTTATGGAGAGTAGCTGACGAAGGCCAGAGAGAGACTTCAGACCCACTAGAACATTCCAACACTCAGTTCCTCAAATGCAACCTCTCTGAGGAATGAGATGATTAAAGGGGAACTCTAAGGGGAAGTCAGGTCAGTCAACTGAGACTCACTAGCAGATCTCAGTGTCAATACCACTTCCTCTGAGAAGCTGTCCCTGATATACCAAATGCTAGATCTTCATCATTGCAGTGCTGCATCATTGCATCATTGCATCATTGCACACCTGCACTGCTCTTCGTAGCATTCATTATATTTGCGGTTATTTGGTCAATACCTGTCTTCCTTGAATGTCTTTGTATTAGTCAAAGTCCTCTAGAGGGACAGGACTAATAGGATATATGTACATATGGAAGGCAGTTTATTAAGGAGAACTAACCCACACAATCACAAGGTAAAGTCCCACAATAGGACATTTGCAAATTGAGGAGCAAGGAAGCCAATGGTGGATCAGTCTGACTCCCAAAACCTCAAAAGTAAGGAAACTGAAAGTGTAGTTTTGGTCTGTGGCCAAAGGCTCGAGAGCCCCTGGTAAGTAAGTCCAAGAGTCCAAAAGCTGAAGAACTTGGAGTCTGATGTTTGAGGGCACAAAACATATAGTATGGGAGAAAATGAATGCCAGAAGACTTAGCCAGCCTAGTCCTTCCACATTCCCTTGCCTGCTTTTATTGTAGCTGTTTTGGCAACTGGTTAGATGGCACCCACCAAGACTGAGGGTGGGTCTGCCTCTCCCAGTCCACCAACTCAAATGTTAATCTTCTTTGGCAACACCCTCACAGACACATCCAGGAACAATACTTTGCATCCTTCAATCCAATCAAGTTGATACTCAGTATTAACCATCACAATCTTTAAGGCCATGAAAGCAGGAATCTATATATCTTAGTTACAGCTGTATTCCAAGAACTTAATATCATACCTGGCACATAGTTGGTGTTCAAAAAATATTGGTTGGGTAAATAAGTAGGTCAATTTATAAATAAATGGATGGGTGGAGATTGGAGTGATAGAGCAGCACCATTTATAGAATTCTCTTCTCCTTGAGGTACACCTAAGGTCTGACACCAAGTCCTCCAGGAGAACAGGGGGCTATTTTCATTTCAAGATACCTTTGTCCTTACCTGGGGTTAACAAACCAGCTACAGATAGGTAAGGATAGCTACAGGCAGACTTGCATTTCTTTGTATCTTCAGCAACTTGCATAAAACCACAGAGCCTCAATTTCCCGTCTTTTAAATTGAAAATAGTACACCTGCTTTACAGGGATTTTCTAAGAGAAAATTTTAAAAGCTTCAGATATTCTGCTGAGCACTTGGTTGAAATGCAAGTGAGAAATGCTCCCTCCTCATCCTATTTCTCTGTTCAGTTTTTTCACCAAAATAGATATCTGGCTTTGAGGAGATGAGCATATAGCACTCCTTTCTTCCTTTCCTGAGTTCAGAACATTTTAAGAAATGGAAGCCAGAGAAATGAAGTCCAAAATAACAGCTTAATTATTGATCAACCTATATCAGAAGATGTGGCTTAGATGTGTGGCCTCATGGGGCTTGCTAATTAGACAGAGCCATTCGCCCACCATTGGCTTGGCTGAGCCACTGTAAGACCTCATTTTCCAAGTCCAGCACACTGCATGCACTGTCAAAAATGATTCTGGGCCTGAGAGAGGATTATAATTTCCCACCTCTTTGACCTCAGGCTTGGTCATATAACTTCTGAGAACAATAAAAATGCAAGCAAAAGTGATGACTAAAACTTCTGAGTAGAAGCTCTTGAAGTCAGAGGGTGTTTGTCTTGTCTTTTAATCCCTCTGCTATAAGACCAGTGTCTTAGCTGGAGCCACCATAATAAAATGCCATAGACTGGGTGGCTCCAACAACAGAAATATACTTTCTTGCAGTTCTGGAACCTGGAAGTCTGAGATCTGGGTATCAGCATGGTCAGGTTCTGGTGAGGGCTCTCTTTCCTGGCTGCTTACGATCATGTCCTCACAAGGCCAGAAAGAGAGTAAGAGAGACAGAGACAGAGAAGGAGAGATCCCTGGAGTCTCTTCTTATAAGGGTGCTAATCCTGAGGGTCCCACCCTCATAACTGTATCTAAACATGATTATTCCGAAGGCCACATCTCCAAATAGCATCCCATTGTGAGTTCAGATTTTAACATATGAATTTTGGGGCAATGTAATTCATTCCACAGTATCCAGCAATGTTCCAGAAATAGACTCTATAAGCCTGGACCAGGAGTGAAGACCCTGTGAGACAAAGGCAACAGCTGATTCATGAAGGACAGGTATCTTGGTACTCATAAGAGACCGAAGCACTGAGGTTATTAGTATGGCAGCATGCCCTAGCCCATCTTGACTGCAATACTACCCTAGTCTCTATCATATTTCCACGTGTACTTACCCCATGGGTGTTTTAGGCCATTTTTTCATGTCTATAAAGAAACATATAAAACTAGGTAATTTATAGGAAAAGAGGATTAATTGGCTCATGGTTCTGCAGGCTATATAGGAAGCGTAGCACTTGCATCTGCTTCTGGGAAGGCCTCAGGAAGCTTTTACTCATGGCAGAGGGTGAAGTGGGAACAGGCACATCACACAGCCAGAGCAGAAGCAAGAGAGAGAGACGTGCCACGTGCTTTTAAATGACTAAATTTCATGAGAACTTACTATTACAAGAACAGCATCAAGGGGGTGGTGCTAAAATACTCATGAGAAATTAACCACCATGATCTAATCAACTCCCACCAGGTCCCACCCCCAACACCAGGGATTATAATTCAACATGAGATTTGGGTAGGGACAAATATACCAACTATATCAACGGGTGAATGGAAAAATCCACCCTCTCTATGGACAGTTTTGAAAGAGGGGAGAGAAGAGACAGAGTCGGACATGCTCTGTTTCTTTCCCCAAATTCAGCCATTAGTTAAGTTACTTCTACTTCAGTCATGGATTGTCCCCTGTTGCAGGGAGGAGTAAAAATTCCCTTCTAATTATGGAAACCTATTCAGTGCAAGTAAAGTGAACTTATTTTCATGCAGGTATGAATAGAGCAGGACACTGATGCTGAGCAGAGGAATGTCAAGATATCATTAAATAGCCATACAAACTATCTGTATAATAGGGATTTTAGTATTCTAATTTGTAACCCAGAGTTTGGAGTGTTCTACAACATATCCTATCCTAAGCATTGATTCCCAGTGCTACATTTTTATTCACTCTTTGGTTATTACCATAAGGTCTCTTAAAGGATGGTACTTTAAATATGGTACTTTAAAGGATGGTACAGGTCTAATTTAGATCATATTCCTCACAAAACCTCTTGCCACTCCAACCACACATGATCAGCTCTTGGCATTCATAAGTTCTCAGTAAATAATTGTTCTGTATGCTTTTCAACTGGAGATGTGGCTCCCAGCACCTGCTCCCTTCTTTCTGTGCTTCTCTAGAACAACTTCCAAGAGCCCTGGGGCCAGTGAGAAGGCATAATCCAATCCCTTTCTACAGCATCATGCATTTCTGATAGTCCTGAATCTCTCCTCATTGTGCTCCCTCCTGGCCAGGGATCCACCAGCTCACTGTCACAGCTGCTCCTGCCAAATTCTATCCTCGTGAGTGTACTTGGCTCTTCTGCAGCATTATATCCAATCCCCCTGCCAAGAACAGAGGAAGGTAAATGACACTGTGCACAAATGAAATGAAGCCCAATACAAAAATTGTGCTGTAATTTTTTTAGACCTAGATTCAATAAATAGACGAGTCAGGAAGAATCTTGCATAACATTTGGCCAAACCTCCTAACTTCCCACATTGAGAAAAATAAGACTGAAAGAGTCTGTGGGATTTGTTCATGGTGCCCAGTAGGGAGAGTCATGAGTCTTTCCACGTTGCCCTGAGGAGCACTGATCACTTAGAGTGCTGCACACCTCATAAATATTCTCATGCTATAAAGATGTGTGTAAATACTTTAATTCACCTCCACAGTCAGCAAACCAAACATCTCAGTCAATAAATATTTTCCTTATGTCAGATCATCTAGTAGAGTAGAGGAAAGCTTTGCTACATTCTGCACCAATGGAGTCTGGACCGTAAGAAGCCTTTCATGTTTCAGTTTGCTCTGTCATCTTCATGGCTAGCAGAGGACAGACCACCAGTCCAAGATAGAGGATGAGATACATGTGGAACAGAACTGCCCAAACCAAGTCCAACCTAGGTCAGCCAATCTCCAGCAAAGACACAGACACATAAGAGAGCCCAACCAAGCCAAGCTTGTATCAGCTGCACCCCAGCCAACTTGCAGTCATATGAGCAGTAAAGAATAAGTGCTGTTTTAACCACCATTTACTGGGGTAGCTTGATACCTGTGATGATTAATTTTATGTGTAAATTTGACTAAGCCATGAGATGCCCAGATATTTGGTCAAATATTATTTCTGGGTGGGCCTGCAAGGGGGTTTCTGGATAATATAAATATTTAAATCAGGAGACTGAGTGAGCAGATTGGCCTTCCCAATGTGGGTGGGCCTCACCCAATCTGATGAAGACATAACTGGGATAAAAAGCTGAGTAGGAAAGAATTCTATTCTCTGCCTGACTGACTTTGAGCTGGGACATCAGTCTCCTCCTGCCTTCAAACTCGAACTCAAACTGAAACTTACACCATTGGTTCTTTGGGTTCTTAGACCTTTAAACTGGGAACTTCAACTGGAAATATACCACTGGCTCTCCCAGATCTCTAGCTTGCTGACTGCAGATCTTGCACTTTTCAGCCTCCATAATCATGTGAGCCAATTTCTTACAGTAAATCTTTCTTCAGATAGATAGATAGATAGATAGATAGATAGATAGATAGATAGATAGATAATAGAGGTATTTTCTTATTGCTCTGTTTCTCTGGAGAACTCAGACTAACACAATACCCCAATTAATGAGGTAGCTTGACACTCCGATTAATGAGGGAATTATTATCTAGCCTCTTCTCTTCCATCCCTATCACCTCTGACAAACTTTAGAGCTCCATTTTTCTTTCCCCTAAACTTTTTCCACCTCTTATTAATGGCCTACCTGCTTCTTTTTCCATCCTTTTCTAATCCATCTTCCTCATTATTATAAAATTGTTGTCTAGAAGACCATCTGTCTAACTTTCCCTCCTGTGAAAAGTCCATGAGTCATAACAACAGTAGCAACACTCATATAGCCACACAAGGTTAAAAGCACAATTTTCAATGTTTTACATAATTCAACTCATTAAATAATCCCAACAACCCTATAAAGTGGATATTTACATTTTTCCCATTTTGCACTTGAGGAAACAGCAGAGAGTGATTAAGTCACTTGCCTAACATTAGTGGAACATGGATCCAAGCCTAATAGTCCAGTTTCCGAGGCTCTACTCTATGGTACATCTCAGTCCCTTTTGTCTTCGGGAAAAAAATCCATACTCCTTAGCACAGAGACCGTTCCTGAGGTAACCTGCAGGCCACCACATTGAACAACTCCGAAGAAATCATGCACAGTCTAATGCACCCTGCCTGCCTCTTAAATTCTCATGACTCCATATCTGAAACTATTGTATATCCTGTCCTCCACTCATGAGAAATGACTTAAAATTCTGAAACACACAATAGAATTTCCAACCTCACTGTGTTTACACAGGTACCTGTCTCCACCTGCATGCCCTTCTTCCCAAGACACTTGAAAAACTGCTCTCTTGAGTCTCCACCATCTAGTCAGTTCTGCAATTCCCCTTTTGAGACTCCAGACAGCAGGCATGGCTTCCATATGCCCATCGAGGCTGGTCATGGCACCACTCCACTTAACTGGACTGACTAACCCCTCTGCCTCTCTTAGGCCTACAGCTATGTATAAAATCTCGTAGGACCTTAATATATGCTAACTGAATAAACTGAATTAGTGATTAAATAAATATGTCCGTAGGCTTTATAGAAACAAAGAGAGTGTTAGAGATTCCAGAAGATCAACAAGAACCACAGGAATGGCCTAATTCTTGGGTATAGACACAGTGCAGAGCACTCTCCTGCTGATTAGCTAAAGCTTCTAATTCCTCCATTAGCATCTGACTCTTTTAGCTTCAAGTCATGACCAAAGGAAGGAGCAAGTCCCCCTGGGAGGGGTTACACTGAAGCTGGAATCATTAAAATGAACATCAATGAGGAAAAATCAGTTCAGCATTTCCTGGAAAGCAGGCCTCAGAAGGGTCAGAACCTCTGGAGAAGTGGATGGAGGTGGCGGGCTGGAACACTGGGCTACTGAGACACTTCTCAGAGCTTGTCAGACTAAGATCTGGAATAAACAGCTCCGAACTCCTTCCCAGCTCAATGTTCAGTTATTTTATGGTGACACTTTCTTCTCACAGACTCGTCCCTCCACCAGCCACCGTTTTCCCCAGGTTGCGGAAACCATGCAAATGAGTTGCAGTGTTTTTGTAATTGTTGATTCTGTGAGGCTAAGGTGGGTAATAGGAAGAGCACTGATTTGGAGTCAAAGACTCCATATCTAAGCCCTGGCTTTGCCATTTCCAAACCGTGTGTTTCTGGACAAATTGCTTTAATGACCATATATTATAAGTTCTTTCTCTGTGCCAGGCCCTCTGCCCAGGATTTTACATCTAGTGCTTCCAGTCCCTCAGCTCTGTGAAGGAGGCAGCACTGTCGGCATTTCATCCATGAGGAGACAGAGGCCCAGGGCCACCAAGGGCATGCCCAAGGCCATCTGCCCAGCAAGTGGATGGATGAAAACCCCAGCACAGGTCAGCTCGCTCCAACTCCAGATCTTCCTCCTGTGCCATGAGTCTCAGTTGGTTCATCTGTAAAATGAAGGGGCTGGAACAGTTGCCCTCCCGGCTCTTTTGTTTTATGACTTGATATTCGCTTGTGATTGGGGCAGGTTTGAAATTACTTCAGAGACCCAGCGTCTGCCAAATCGTAATCAAGTTGGCTGCCTGGTCTGAGGCCCAATGAACAATACTGCGTCTGTGGCTCAGCCCTGCTTCATGATGGCCATGGCGCATTTCCTGTGGTGTTGAGAGCCCTTTCGGGGGGAGGGGGCAGGGGAAGGGGAGGCGGTGCTGGCCCGGCATTGCTTCATTTCCCATGCTCCATTGCAATAAGTCACCAGTCTTTCAAAACACATCAGTGTATTCCTTTTTATTGCCATCAAACCCTCTGCTCATATGATGGCTCAATCACTGTGATTTATTTTAATTGAAAAGCCTACCAGCCACCCTCTGCCAAAGCAACTGACCAGCTCCTGTGTGATTTCCTATCAGAACATTTCCTGCCAACCCACAGCATCTGCACAGGCCAGTGAAGGGGAGGGGGTGAGCTCTGAATGGCCATTTGGCCTCAACCTGACATCCAAGAAGATCCTCAAATGTACATTTTAACCTTTTCCCCCAAAATGATAATAGATACAAACTGCATGTATTTTGTAAGTTTTACATGCAGTCATTTATAATGGCATTTGCAGCAACCTGGATGGAATTGGAGACAATTATTCTAAGTGAAGTAACTCGGGAATGGAAACCCAAACATCACATGTTCTCACCTACAAGCAAGAGCTAAGTTATGAGGATGCAAAGGCATAAGAATGACACAATGAACTTTGGGGACTCAGGGAAAGTGTGGGAGTCGGGTGAGGGATAAAAGACTACACATTGGGTACAGCGTACACTGCTCGGGTTATGGGTGCACCAAAATCTTAGAAATCACCACTAAAGAACTTATTCTTATAACCAAACACCACCTGTTGCCCAAAAAAAACCTACTGAAATAAAAAATAAATAAGTAAGTAAGTAAGTAAATAAATAAATAAAAGCAGTCATTTATGAATAGACTTTATTTGTTAAACCCTATTTTGATATTTTCCTTCCTTTTTAATTTGGTGAAAACATCAAAGAAATGAGAGCAGCCAGCATCTCCTTTAGTCCCTGTGACACTGGGGTTGGCCCAGGTTTTACTCTTGTCTGTCCTGCCCTACAGCTTCTCTTTTTTTGTTTTTTCGGTTTTTATTTTAATTTTTTTAACTTATTTTAGGTTCAGAGATACATGTGTAAGTTTGTTATACAGGTAAACTGTGTGTCATGGAGGTTTGGTATACAGGTTATTTTCCTTCCCAGGTAATAAGCATAGTACACAATGGGTATTTTCTTCTGATCCTCTCCCTCCTCCCACCCTCCATCTTCAAATGGGCCCCAGTGCCTGTTGTTCCCCTCTTTGTGTCCACGTGTTCTCATTGTTCAGCTTCCACTTACAAGTGAGAACATGTGGTATTTGGTTTTCTGTTTCTGTGTTAGTTTGCTTAGGATAATGGCCTCCAATTCCATCCATGTTGCTGCAAAGGACATGATCTCGTTCTTTGTTATGGCTTCATAGTATTCCATGGTGTACATGTACCACATTATTTCTATCAAGTCTTCTGTTGATTGCCCTGTATCTTTAGACAAATTATTTCATTTCTCTTGGTCTCAGTTTTCTCACCTGCAAAGATAAAATGACACTACCTGCCTCACAGGAGTGATTTTTGTTTGCCTTTTTTTTCTTTTCTTTTCTTTCTTTCTACTCTTTTCTCTTTACAAACTTTACTTTTTGGTGAGGACCAACTGAAAAAGCATAAGAACGTATATTTACAAATTT